CCAAGTGCCCTGTGGTGACCATCTCGTCCTCTGGCACGGCACCGTATCTCATTGTGACTACTGCGCCTTATAACCCCTCTCTCTCTCTCTCTCTAGGGGTTCTCACCGCCGTCCCTGCCACGGCCGCTCTTGCACGCTCCCTTCCCGTACTACTTCATACCACATCTTGTTTGGTCCCGCTACATGGACTAAATACTTCGATCTCCACCATCTGGATTCTACTCCTCCTGATGATTTATCTCTCCATAGGCACCTTGTTGATTCAGTATATGCCTCTGTTACTTTCAACCCCACCCGTCTCGGTACACGTGTCGTTGCTGCTTCTTCTTAGGATGCAGCTACCCACTTGGCTGCCTTATCCTGCAATACAGAGACCCCTGTTTGGGTCTCTAAGAACGCTCGGTTAAATGCCAGTGTTAGCACTGTTCTCCTCCTGCACCATGTTGCAAGCGGTGTTAGGAACCTAAAGGACTGCCACGAGGATATTAAACATATCCTCGAAACCCAAGGCCATTCTGTCCTCCAGGTGGACACATTCACTCGACCCCCTCATGGTTGTCGCCTTCAGCCCCTTCGGGTTGTGAAAATTACCTTTGATGGTAGGACCCTTCCGCCCTCTATAATTCTTGCTGGTGCAAGATGCTCTGTTCATTAGTACATACCCTCTCCTCGGCTCTGTAATAAGTGCTGGAAGTTCGGACATGGTGCCCTCAGATGCTACGGTATTGTCTCTCTCTGTCCCATGTGTGGGGACGTTGGTCACTCTATGTCGGAGAGCTTGTGTCCTCGAGCTCGATGCCTCAATTGCAGTGAGGCCCACCCTACCTACTCCCAAGCGTGTATACATTACAAACTTGAGGCAACCGTCCTCAACTTGAAACACCAGGATCGTTTGTCTTTTTCTGAGGCAAGGCGCCAAGTTCGCCGTCTTCCCCCTTTTGCTGGCGTGTCTTATGCTCGCACGTTGCACTCCTCCTCTCCTCGTCCTCTCCACTTTCCTCAGTCTCACAACCATTTCCAGGCCTTCGACCCAGACACGCCCACCATCTCCTTCCCTGTTCCTTTACGTTCTGTCCCAAAGGGTCAGAACCCTCCTGGTTCTCCATCTGGAATTTCCCGTCTTCCTACACAGTCTGCCGTGTCTCCTGTGTTTTCTTTCTCATCTCCCTCCGATCTTCCTTCCCATTCTTCTAACCCCGTCTCTTAGATCTCCTTGCCACCTGTCTGTACAGGCTGTTGTCCATCATTCTCCCAGCAATCTTCATGTTGTTTGCTCTTGCTCTTCTTCTCCTGTTGAGACGCTCGAATCTATCGCCCAGTATGTTGTTGCTGGAACACCTGTCTCTTTGAATCAGAAATGTAAGCCTGGCTCCTCTCCTTCCTCCTCCCCGGCGGGTAAGAAGGCATCACTTCCTTCCTCGTTCCCCAACTCTGATTCTATCGCTCTGTCACCTCCCGTTTCGGTGGTCGGGCCTCCTGTTCCAGGTATGGAGGTTTCTTTGGCCCCCACTTCCCTCTCGTTTGCTGCCCTTGCCAAGGTATGCCCCCTGGTTTCTGCCCCTCCTTCTGCTATCTTGACTGCCTCTCTCCGTTGTCTCCTCCTCCGGACCCTGCCCGTCCATCTCTGGTCTGTCCTTCCACTCCCTTCCCTCCATCCTTACTCAGTTAACTCTTTGAATGTTATGTTCGTCTGATGTAGTTTTAGAACACTTTCACCACCTCTCCCCCTCTTAATTTAGTTTTCGCAAGTGCCACAGCACAATGGATGTCCTGGTGAACTTGGAGGTCTATATTCGTACTGCTTTCGCTGTGAGGACCTCTGTTGTTTCCGACCTGGAAAGGGCTTACGACACCGTCTGGAAACATCATATTCTGTCCCAACTTCGCTCTTTTGGCCTTCGTGGTAATCTCCCTCTCTTCCTCCAAAGCTTGCTCTCTTGTCGTTCCTTTTGAGTGAGGCTTGGTGCCACTCTCTGCCTTTTTTCGGCAATACGAGGGTGTACCCCAAGGTAGTGTTCTGAGCACTACTCTTTTTCTGGTTGCCCTCAATGGTCTTCTTTCCTCTCTTCCTTCTGTGGTCTTCTCCGCTCTCTATGTCGACAATCTTACCCTTTGCTGTCGGGGTGATGATTTGCTTCTTCAATGGCAGCTTCAACTTGCGATTGGTGGTCATCCTGGGCCACCGAATGTGGCTTCAAGTTCTCTATGTCTAAGACTTGCGCTATGACTTTTACTTGGAAGCATGTCGTTCTTCACACCTCTTTGTCGCTTTATGGTCATCCCATTGTGTACAATGATTCTGCTAAGTTTTTGGAGTTAATCTTTGACACTCATTTGTCTTGGTTGGCCCATATCTCTTACCTCCGAGTTGAATGCTCTAAGGCCCTTAACCTCCTTAAGATTTTGTCCCATACTTCTTGGGAATGGAACGAAATTATCAGGAGAAAGCACCATGCCATTACAACTATATAGCACTTGAAGGGGGTTAGGATAAGGATTTGGGATGGGACAGGGTGTAGGCACATGGGGATAGGCACACGCTCCTCTCTTTACGTTCCTCTCTCGTACTGTCTAAATTCGATTATGGTTGCACTGCTTACTCGTCTGCTTCTCCTTCAACTCTTTGCTGTGTTGATGCTTTGCATCATACTGGGTTGCACCTCAGCTCTGGTGCCTTTCGTTCGACTCCTTCCCTCAGCTTGTATGTTGACACTGGCTTCCTATCTCTCCAGGACCTCTGTGATCGCTACTGTCTTCACTATCTTGCGCGGTTCTTACAACATCCGTACTCTCGCCTCTGTCATGCTTTGACATTCACCCTCCTGTAGTTCCCGTTTCTCTTCACAACCTCCCTCTTTCTGTCCGGTTTTCTCGCCTACAGGATTCTCTTTCGGTTAGTATTATCTATGTTTCTTCTATTGTTCTGTCCTTGCCCCCGTGGAGTGTCCCCCTTCCTAGATTTTGTACATCCCTGACCTGCATCATTAAAGCTTTTACCCCTCCTACGATTCTGAAATGTCTTTTCCTTGAGCACTTTTCTTCACACTTCCGCTCCGTTTCCATCTTCACCGATGGGTCTAAGTCTGAGGATGGTGTAAACTACTCTGTTGTTTTCCCTGACCACACTTATATGTGTTGCCTGCCTCCGGAGACTAGCATCTTCACGACAAAACTTTATGCTATTCTCTATGCTCTTTATCTCCTGCTTTCTCGTTGTCAATCCTCCTTTTTGGTTGTTGTTGACTCGTGTCCTGCCCTCATGGCTCTAGAGTCTTTTAATCCAGTCCATCCGGTGGTCGTCGAGAATTCAACATTGGCTGTTTCTTATTTCCAGTAAATTTAAGTCAGTAGAGTTTTGCTGGGTTCCCAGCCATATTGGTGTCTCTTTAAATAAGCGTGGTGACACAGCCGCTAAGGAAGCTGTCCGCTCTTGTCCCATCTCCTGTAAAGGTATTCCTTATTCCGACTTTAACCCAGTTATTCATGCCTCCATTCTTGCTCGTAGACAGGGTTGTTGGTCTTCTGTTGGTGGTAACAAACTGCGTACTTTTAAGAGTAGTGTGTCCCCGTGGCCTTCCTCCTACCACCGTAACTGGCGATGGGAAACGGCTCAGGCGAGATTGCGTACTGGCCATACGCGCTTATCTCACAGTCACTCAATGGAGCGTCGCCCTGCTCCTTATTGTCCAAATTGCATTGTCCCTCTTACAGTCGTACATATCCTTGTTGAATGTCCTGATTTCCAGGACGAGCGTGTGTCTTGCTTTCCGACTGTCCCTTGCGGTCGCTTGTCCCTCGATAGAATTCTTGGTGAATCAGATACTTTTGATATCGTTTGCCTTATGCGTTTCTGTTCTCGTATTGGCATCCTTGGTGATATTTAGCGCCCTCTGATTATTCCACACATTTGATGGTGCTACATAGCCTTCCCGGTTAGATGCCTTCTTTTGATAATTACTTACATACCGTCTACAGGATGGGTATGGGATCCTCTACTATTCACAGGATGGGTATGGCATCCACTACTATCCATATATATATATATATATATATATATATATATATATATATATATATATATATATATATATATATATATATATATATATATATATATAAATATATATATGTCGTACCTAATAGCCAGAACGCACTTCTCAGCCTACTATGCAAGGCCAGATTTGCCTAATAAGCCAAGTTTTCATGAATTATTTGTTTTTCGACTACCTAACCTACCTAACCTAACCTAACCTAACTTTTTCGGCTACCTGACCAAACCTAACCTATGAAGATAGGTTTGGTTAGGTTAGGTAGGGTTGGTTAGGTTCGGTCATATATCTACGTTAATTTTAACTCCAATTAAAAAAAATTGACCTCAAACATAATGAAATGGGTAGCTTTATCATTTCATAAGAAAAAAATTAGAAAAAATATATTAATTCAGGAAAACTTGGCTTATTAGGCAAATCGGGCCTTGAATAGTAGGCTGAGAAGTGCGTTCTGGCTACTAGGTACGACATATATATATATATATATATATATATATATATATATATAATATTCTGTCCTCCATGGACAGGGTTAGAGATCTGTTAGACATATAGTTCAGTGACTGATTGAACAATCAAACACAGAAGTTAATTGTCGGAAACCAATCTCCGTGGTGCAGTGGTAGAGCACTCGCCCGATGCTTTGCGAGCATTTTGGCCTGGGTTGGTATCCTGGCCGAGGAGGATTGACTAGGCACCAAACTATAACTGTACATTTCTGTTTACCCAACAATGGGAAAATGGGAACCTGGTTGTTAAACGATTTGTAGGGTCGTATTCCGGGGAAACAAATTAGGATTAAGGACTTGCCCAAAATGCTACGCGGGCTAGTGGTTGTACAAGAGTGTAGGAACTCTTGTATATATGAATGAGATAAGTAACTGGTGTAAGTGGTGTATAATACAATATTATAATGTATAATACAGTAACTGGTGTATGTGTGGTGGACAGGTGGTGGTGATGTAGTGTGAGCAGGCGCCAGGGTGGGCGCTGGGGCAGCGATGCCAGCCGCGCGCTCCTCCTTCCTCGGTGACGACCTCCATGTTGCCGCCTCCGCCTCCGCCCGCTCCCTCGTCTCCGTTGGTGGTAAGTCTTATGACCTTCTTCCTCTACCACCCTCCTCCTAGCTTGTGTTAGGATGTGTTACTTTGTTTTAGGATGTGTTAGCTTGTGTTAGGATGTGTTACTTTGTTTTAGGATGTGTTAGCTTGTGTTAGGATGTGTTACTTTGTTTTAGGATGCGTTAGCTTGTGTTAGCTTGCGCTAAAATGTGTTAGCTTGTGTTAGGATGTGTTAGCATGTTTCAGAATGTGTTAGCTTGTGTTAGGACGTGTTAGCTTGTGTTAGGATGTATTAGCTTGAGTTAGAATGTGTTAGGACGTGTTAGCTTGTGTTAGGACGTGTTAGCTTAAGGTAGAACGTGTTAGCTTAGGGTAGAACGTGTTAGCTTAGGACGTGTTAGCTTAGGGTAGGACGTGTTAGCTTAGGGTAGGACGTGTTAGCTTAGGGTAGGACGTGTTAGCTTAAGGTAGGACGTGTTAGCTTAGGGTAGGACGTGTTAGCTTAGGGTAGGACGTGTTAGCTTAGGACGTGTTAGCTTAGGGTAGGACGTGTTAGCTTAGGACGTGTTAGCTTAAGGTAGGACGTGTTAGCTTAGGACGTGTTAGCTTAAGGTAGGACGTGTTAGCTGAAGGTAGGACGTGTTAGTTTAGGGTAGGACGTGTTAGATGAAGGTAGGACGTGTTAGCTTAGGGTAGGACGTGTTAGCTTAGGGTAGGACGTGTTAGCTTAGGGCAGGATGTGTTAGCTTAAGGTAGGACGTGTTAGCTTAGGGTAGGACGTGTTAGCTTAAGGTAGGACGTGTTAGCTTAGGGTAGGACGTGTTAGCTTAGGGCAGGATGTGTTAGCTTAAGGTAGGACGTGTTAGCTTAGGGTAGGACGTGTTAGCTTAGGGTAGGGCGTGTTAGCTTAGGGCAGGATGTGTTAGCTTAAAGTAGGACGTGTTACCTTAGGGTAGGACGTGTTAGCTTAGGGTAGGACGTGTTAGCTTAGGGTAGGACGTGTTAGCTTAGGACAGGATGTGTTAGCTTAAGGTAGGACGTGTTAGCTTAGGGTAGGACGTGTTAGCTTAAGGTAGGACGTGTTAGCTTAGGACGTGTTAGCTTAAGGTAGGACGTGTTAGCTTAAGGTAGGACGTGTTAGCTTAGGACGTGTTAGCTTAAGGTAGGACGTGTTAGCTTAGGGTAGGACGTGTTAGCTTAGGGTAGGACGTGTTAGCTTAGGGTAGGACGTGTTAGCTTAAGGTAGGACGTGTTAGCTTAGGGTAGGACGTGTTAGCTTAGGACGTGTTAGCTTAGGGTAGGACGTGTTAGCTTAGGACGTGTTAGCTTAAGGTAGGACGTGTTAGCTTAAGGTAGGACGTGTTAGCTTAGGACGTGTTAGCTTAAGGTAGGACGTGTTAGCTTAGGGTAGGACGTGTTAGCTTAGGGTAGGACGTGTTAGCTTAGGGCAGGATGTGTTAGCTTAAGGTAGGACGTGTTAGCTTAGGGTAGGACGTGTTAGCTTAAGGTAGGACGTGTTAGCTTAGGGTAGGACGTGTTAGCTTAGGACGTGTTAGCTTAAGGTAGGACGTGTTAGCTTAAGGTAGGACGTGTTAGCTTAGGACGTGTTAGCTTAAGGTAGGACGTGTTAGCTTAGGGTAGGACGTGTTAGCTTAGGGTAGGACGTGTTAGCTTAGGGCAGGATGTGTTAGCTTAAGGTAGGACGTGTTAGCTTAGGGTAGGACGTGTTAGCTTAAGGTAGGACGTGTTAGCTTAGGGTAGGACGTGTTAGCTTAGGGCAGGATGTGTTAGCTTAAGGTAGGACGTGTTAGCTTAGGGTAGGACGTGTTAGCTTAAGGTAGGACGTGTTAGCTTAGGGTAGGACGTGTTAGCTTAGGGTAGGACGTGTTAGCTTAGGGCAGGATGTGTTAGCTTAAGGTAGGACGTGTTAGCTTAGGGTAGGACGTGTTAGCTTAAGGTAGGACGTGTTAGCTTAAGGTAGGACGTGTTAGCTTAGGGTAGGCCGTGTTAGCTTAAGGTAGGACGTGTTAGCTTAAGGTAGGACGTGTTAGCTTAAGGTAGGACGTGTTAGCTTAGGACGTGTTAGCTTAGGGTAGGACGTGTTAGCTTAGGACGTGTTAGCTTAAGGTAGGACGTGTTAGCTTAGGACGTGTTAGCTTAAGGTAGGACGTGTTAGCTTAGGGTAGGACGTGTTAACTTAGGACGTGTTAGCTTAGGGTAGGACGTGTTAACTTAGGACGTGTTAGCTTAGGGTAGGACGTGTTAGCTTAAGACGTGTTAGATTAGGGTAGGACGTGTTACCTTAGGGTAGGACGTGTTACCTTAGGGTAGGACGTGTTACCTTAGGGCAGGACGTGTTACCTTAGGGCAGGATGTGTTACCTTAGGGTAGGACGTGTTACCTTAGGGCAGGACGTGTTACCTTAGGGTAGGACGTGTTACCTTAGGGCAGGACGTGTTACCTTAGGGCAGGATGTGTTACCTTAGGGTAGGGCGTGTTACCTTAGGGCAGGACGTGTTACCTTAGGGTAGGACGTGTTACCTTTGGGCAGGATGTGTTAGCTTAGGGTAGGACGTGTTACCTTAGGGTAGGACGTGTTACCTTAGGGTAGGACGTGTTACCTTAGGGCAGGATGTGTTACCTTAGGGCAGGATGTGTTACCTTAGGGTATGACGTGTTACCTTAGGGCAGGACGTGTTACCTTAGGGTAGGACGTGTTACCTTAGGGCAGGACGTGTTACCTTAGGGCAGGATGTGTTACCTTAGGGTAGGGCGTGTTACCTTAGGGCAGGACGTGTTACCTTAGGGTAGGACGTGTTACCTTAGGGCAGGATGTGTTAGCTTAGGGTAGGACATGTTACCTTAGGGTAGGACGTGTTACCTTAGGGTAGGACGTGTTACCTTAGGGCAGGACGTGTTACCTTAGAGCAGGATGTGTTACCTTAGGGTAGGACGTGTTACCTTAGGGCAGGACGTGTTACCTTAGGGTAGGACGTGTTACCTTAGGGCAGGACGTGTTACCTTAGGGCAGGATGTGTTACCTTAGGGTAGGGCGTGTTACCTTAGGGCAGGACGTGTTACCTTAGGGTAGGACGTGTTACCTTAGGGCAGGATGTGTTAGCTTAGGGTAGGACGTGTTTCCTTAGGGTAGGACGTGTTACCTTAGGGTAGGACGTGTTACCTTAGGGCAGGACGTGTTACCTTAGGGCAGGATGTGTTACCTTAGGGTAGGACGTGTTACCTTAGGGCAGGACGTGTTACCTTAGGGTAGGACGTGTTACCTTAGGGCAGGATGTGTTACCTTAGGGTAGGGCGTGTTACCATAGGGCAGGACGTGTTACCTTAGGGCAGGATGTGTTACCTTAGGGTAGGACGTGTTACCTTAGGGCAGGATGTGTTACCTTAGGGTAGGACGTGTTAACTTAGGGCAGGACGTGTTAGCTTAGGGCAGGATGTGTTACCTTAGGGTAGGGCGAGTTACCTTAGGGCAGGACGTGTTAGCTTAGGGTAGGACGTGTTACCTTAGGGCAGGTAAACTTTAAAAGCAGCCTGCAACAGGTCTTATACAGGATGTAACCTGTAACCTGCCCAGGTGGTGACCTTGACTGTCTCACCTGACCTTGTGTTGACCCGCGGGGTAATGTATTGACAACGTTATCAGCCTGTAACCCCTGATGACCTTGTTTGACCTCCAATTGTTTCCCTTCTCTACAACTCTCCCCCAGTTACCTCTGAGTCCAACCTTCCTATTCTTAACCTGTTCTGTACTTCTACGTTCTTCTCAAATTCAAAACTGTATTTATGTATTCTTATTCATGATCCTGTGGTCCCGGGTTCGATCCCGGGCGCCGGCGAGAAACAATGGGCGGAGTTTCTTTCACCCTATGCCCCTGTTACCTAGCAGTAAAATAGGTACCTGGGTGTTAGTCAGCTGTCACGGGCTGCTTCCTGGGGGTGGAGGCCTGGTCGAGGACCGGGCCGCGGGGACACTAAAGCCCCGAAATCATCTCAAGATAACCTCAAGATGATGTAATGCAATTAGTATATTTTATTGATATAATTCCTGTCGTCGAAGTCAAGATCTGTTTTGGGGCTTGTGGGAGTTCTGTCAAGGTCCAGTAGGTATTGACCCTGTGCAGGGTGCCATCCGTAACAGTTGGCTTACTCCCAGATACGTATTTACTGATGGGTAAACAGAGGCATCAGGTGAAACATGGGTAATGTCCACTACCACCCACAGGATGGGTATGGGGTTCACTACCACCCACAGGATGGGTATGGGGTCCACTACCACCCACAGGATGGGTATGGGGTCCACTACCACCCACAGGATGGGTATGGGGTTCACTACCACCCACAGGATGGGTATGGGGTCCACTACCACCCACAGGATGGGTATGGGGTTCACTTACCACCCACAGGATGGGTATGGGGTCCACTACCACCCACAGGATGGGTATGGGGTCCACTACCACCCACAGGATGGGCATGGGGTCCACTACCACCCACAGGATGGGTATGGGGTCCACTACCACCCACAGGATGGGTATGGGGTCCACCACCACCCACAAGACAGGTATGGGGTCCACCACCACCCACAAGACAGGTATGGGGTCCACCACCACCCACAAGACAGGTATGTGGTCCACCACCACCCACAAGACAGGTATGGGGTCCACCACCACCCACAAGACAGGTATGGGGTCCACCACCACCCACAAGACAGGTATGGGGTCCACCACCACCCACAAGACAGGTATGGGGTCCACCACCACCCACAAGACAGGTATGTGGTCCACCACCACCCACAAGACAGGTATGTGGTCCACCACCACCCACAAGACAGGTATGGGGTCCACCACCACCCACAAGACAGGTATGGGGTCCACCACCACCCACAAGACAGGTATGGGGTCCACCACCACCCACAAGACAGGTATGGGGTCCACCACCACCCACAAGACAGGTATGGGGACATGATATACCAAGTAACAAGAACTATCTGTTAGTACCCCGTAAAGTAGT